TATAAATCTCCTTTTTTGGGTGCTTCTGTTCTTCACATTATTTTATTTTGGCAACAGAGTCCCTTTCATCTGAACCAGCAGTCCATTTGTGTTCATGATGACATCCCGGGACCATGTTCTACTTGCATACAATCCTAAATTTCCATGTTGTTGTCCCGTGGAAAGTTTTGTCCGTTCCCTCTGTTCTATCCGTATCTAACCCCGTATGGTAAAGAACTGTATCTGTCAGGGAACCATTCATGGTCAAGGGTCATGGCCTCTTTCCATGGAGGCTTTAGAAGTTTCCACAATTATTGAGCTTTGCTCTGGAAGGTCCGGTGCTGCCAGCACTCGGCAAGAAAGAGATTGATATTCCAGAGAACCCAGCATGGCAATGATCTCTCCCATGATGCCGCCGGGTCCATGACTGGCAAACAGATGCTTGGCTTCCACACTGTTTGACCCTTGACCCCCAGGAGGGGGGGTGTTTGGGGTGGACGGTAGCTCTATGTCTGTTACTACCTCAGCTCGGGCCCAAAGGTCACCCGGAGTACATTCTACAATTCCATATATTGGGCCCCGTGTCCTGTCTGAGGGTATCACAAGGGTAGTTTTGGCGTTAGCTATGCAACTGTAGACATGAGAGGACTGAAGAAGCCTTAACCCATTTCACATACGTGTGTGTTCCCGCTCCATGCAGTGCTGTGTACCAATATCTGTCATTTTATATTTTTCCATCTCTGCATCTTTCATTTGTCAATGCTTCAATGGACGGTGACACCTTGTTGGGGACAATTGTGTATTGAATGCATTTTGATTTATAGCTGCAATAAATTGTTTGAAAAGTTTTCTTGTCCATGCATTTAATTTCCTTTTTAACCAAAAATGTCTCCGATGGTCAAGAGACCCTTTTATTTGGTTGGAATGCCGATAGCGGATTCCTATCCCCACCAGGAAAGCATTGCGTTGTGTTAATACCCCGACATGAAGGCCGGTCTCGGCTGTGTACAGTCTAATGGTCAGCCATTGAAGGTTAATGACACAAATCGGTTATCAAAGTCTATGTGATGGTTCCATTTTGTATTTGTGACCCCCTCC